CTTCCGAGGTGATACCACCAAGATCCCAGTTACTCCTACATCCCTAGCCCCAACCCTGATTTTTCTTCTGACTTCCAGACCCGTCAAGCAAAACAGATTTTGGACATCTTCGAGATGCCCTGCAGGCACCTTAGATTCAACATATACAAATATAAACCCCACCAACTTCTTTCAAAATTCTTTTGAATTTTGATTCAACATATACAAATATAAACCCCACCAACTTCTTTCAAAATTCTTTCTCCTTCTTCTGGTCTTCACCATCCTCACAAGTCCAATACCTCAATATCATCCTCGATGCCTCCTTTCGTCTTAGCCCCCATTTAAACTCAAACAATTGTCTATGGGATGCCCAGAACACTGCTGGTGTCCGGGCTCATGTCTCAATCCATGACCTAACACAGGACTCCAAAATTTCCCACCTGAGTTGTCTGGAGGAAAGCAAGACCATTTTAGCACCTTGGCACTGTGGGGTTTGGTAAAAAGATGCTTATTCACTTACTAGCCCAAAGGCAGTGATTGATGAGTTGGAGCTCTTACCAGCTCTTTGCTGAACAGGAAAGGGACACTGGTTTTGCTGCAGACAGCCCAATTGATGAAGTTCTGCACATGTTCAAACTGGCGGTTGAGAACCATGATGCTCTGTAGCTGTTGCTCCAGCTTCCGCTTTCTCTCATTAGTAATGCCCTGCGTATGTATGGACAAAGACAGAGTCCCTGATCCTGTTCTTGGACTTCAGTCCCCCTGTTTGGGGAGTCTGGTGGCCTGTGGATCGGTGTGACCCTGACAGGGTCAGACGAGATTGTGCCCCTGAGAGGACAACAGTGGGACAGAGGGACACAGGAAGGGAGGGAGGAAGGTGGGTGGATTTTATAGTGCAAACATGAAATGGGTGATAAATGAACGAGGACATGAACAAATGCCTACATCTCTTGGGCGTAACTTGTTTCATGATCCTCTCTTCCAAGGCGATAAGCATGTATAGGCCAGGAAGGCAGATGACTTAAAGCCTTATAGCATTGATGGGAGTTTGAACTGATTTTCCAGCCCCTAATGAGCCATCCTCCCCAAATTAGACTGGACATTTTAAGATATAGAGAACAGCAGAAAGCTATGGAAACTGCATATCTGAATTCCAGCCAAGGGGGTTCTAAGCCCTGGGACTAGCTTGATATGTGCCTGGTTTCTGACCCAGGGAGATCGCCAACCCAGCCATCTGATCCATCTGTCCACATATACCTCCAACTCCTCTATGAGCCCATTGGCCTGTTTGTTCAGCTCATTCATCAGAACCATCTTGGCCATTTTGATCTGGTTTTCCACCTTCCTGTGTTGATGCTTCACTTCAAAAATCCTATAAATAGAATGGGACATAGCATGATGAGCCCCTCCTCCAGGCCCATGATGACCTAGAGATAACAAACAAAACAGGCACCAAATATAAATAAATAAGAACCCTCCTCCACCACCCTACCCTTTGCACACGCATCCCACTTGATCTAAGTGGGCCAATGGCCCAAAGTTCAACCAGGTTTTCTCTAGGTAAATATCAGGTCCACACTCAGGTCAACCCAGCAGCTCACTAGTTACACAGCAATGGAGACAGGACAGAAAGAGTGAGTATGAGTATGACATCGTGTAATCTGTTGTCTTAAAAAGGTGGATGCTCCACTAAACAATGCCATGCAGTAAAAAGAGCATGGGCAAGGACAGAAAGAAGACTAGTAGTTGCCAAGGGCTAGGGATGTTGGGGGGAATGGAGAGTAACTACTAATAATGTGTACTGGGTTTCTTTGGGGAGTGATAAAATGTTCTAAAAGTAGATGGTAACAATGATTTACACAACTTGGAATATACTGAAAACCACTGAATTGTACATTTTAAAAGAACAATTTTATGGTATATAAACTATAGCTCAATAAAGTTGTTTTTTTAAAAAAGAACACAGGCTTTGGAGTCACACATACCTAGCTTCCAAATCCAGCTCAGTCACTGACTAGCTGTGTGATCTCAGACAAGTCATCTAACCTCTCTGAACCTCAGTCTTCTCATTAGTACAATGGAGCTAATCCAACTCTAAGAATTGTAAGAATTGAACAAAATAATGCATGTATGATGTCCAACCCAGTGCCTGACACATGATGAGCTCTTAGTGTCTACTAATTCCTCTTCCTACATTAAATATTAATGGTTCTATATCATTTGTAGATGTATATGGAAGACACTGGGAAAGGGATGATAAAGGGTAGATTTCCACTGAGTTACTGCACCCTCATGATAAACCCAGAATCTGCTTCGTGCCATCATTCTCAAGTACCTACCCTGGCTATGTCTGTCATGGGCCACATTCAGGAGGCATGTGCCTAGGCTCAAACTCACACTGATCACCCTGACCTAGCTTGGTCCCACTTACCAAGTGATGGCCCAAAGCCCTTTCACTGGCCCTGAGACCTCTAAGTTCCAGGACATATGCCTTCTGGGACACATGCCCACATCTGCTTAACCTCATGTATTCTTCATAAGTACTACATCTGATAGCCTGATATCAACATCCAGGATGTCAAGAAACAGAGCATTTCCACAATTGGCAAGGGGCTAGTCTGTGTTACCTGTCCTCAATTTGCTTTGCAGAGGTCTGTAGATTAGATTTCTTATGAGCCACCTGTGTAGTCACACTTTCCAGAAGCATCCTCTGGTTTTGCAAAACTTCTTCAAGATGTCTACACCTAAAGAAGGAGGCAGAGAAAAAGCTGAGGAGATCCGAGTATTCTTCTGAGCATGCCAGTCAAGCAAGAACCCCCCACCATGTATTGTCTCAGCCAGGCCCATGGAAGCTGGGATTATTACATCTAGGGAAAGTCAGATATAGTGCAGAGTCTTAACCCTTCAGGTCTTCTCTAGAGAAGCCCCATGGCAAGAGCAGAGAAAAACTCCAGCCTCAGGGCTCCAGATTGGCTCAGGCAGAGAGAGGATTTTGATGCACTGGGAGGCCAGCACTAGCAAAGCAGAGTCCAGAACCCTCCCAGGCCCCCTTTGAGCAGCCAGCCATCCCTACCTATGTTCTTTGTGTTCCACCATGAGGCAGCTATGGCATGTTAGAACATCACAAGTCTCACAGAATAGCTTGAGCACTTCTTGTGTGTGTAGAGGACAGTACAAGGCGAAGTCCCCAGAACCACCAGTCACTCCTGCCAGAGAAGACAGAGAGAGTGGGCTTCTCTTGCTCAGGAAGACTCTCAGTTAAGCTCCACTGAGCAGCCCTCAGCCCTCAATGGACACAGGGGAGACACAGAACCTGGAAGAAAGGTGGTGCAGACAGGAGAGGCCTCTCTCTGGGCCAGTGAGGTTCCAGGAGCACAAGGAAGAATGTGAGCTTAGCCCGGCTGGATTTGCCCAGCTGTCCAGAAATCACACACCACCCAGCCCCAGGTATCTCACCACCTGCCAGAGGCTGAGGAAGGGGCCTGCTACTGCAGCACATGGATCTTCTGCAGAGTAATGGATCCTCTAAAATTCAACCTAAAGCTCTTCATTAACCAGGGTGCTGCTGCGGGGGCTATAGGCCAGGTCACAGACCATTAACTCTGGTTCATGTGGGTGTAACTAAGGTAAAAACCTTCCTACAGTTCAAGGACCTTGGGCAAAGACTGTCAAGGAGACTGTCATTGAAAACAAGTGGCAATGAATGGGCCAATGGACAAGCCCTGATCCAGGCTGTTTAATTATGCAAGTAACTAAATAGAAGTGAGGCATGATTGTTCTACTTAGAGATGAAAGTAGGGAACTCGGCTAGCACTCACAATAATTCAGGACTACTCTTCCCTGCACGTCTCACCCACACTCACCCCTCCCACCCCCAACAAAGGAGAGCCTAGCCATGAACTTGCACTGTGGCTGTGACTCTGGAGGAGACATTTTTCTTTTGGGAAAGGCTCTAAGACCACCTTTACCTTCACCCCAGTAGGGAGACAAGGTCAGAGAGCCACTCTCCAGAGGTTTTAGGGGCCAGGACTGCTTAAGGGCACGTGAGCCGGTGGGGGAAGCAGGGAGAGATACCTGGCGGGCCCTTCTGGGCCCGGGGAAAGAGAGGGCCCCCGGGGGCTGGGCCGTGCCGGTGCTCCTCCGTGCAGGAGCTGCACAGCCAGCGGTTGCAGTAGGTGCAGAGGATGTGTGCTGCCCTCTTCTCCTTGCACTCGGAGCAGTTCTGGAAGCAGAGAGGTCTGGAGTTACTGACAGCATCCTCAATTGGGCCTGCCTCCATGAGGGACTGGGGGCCTGTAGGGCTATTCTCGATAGGGCAGTCAGTTTTGGAAAGCCACCTAGGAGTGACAGTGGTGGCTTGTGAAGGAAATCATCCTTTGTGACTAAAAGAATAGTGGCCACAGGGACTATTCCCCCAAGTCTCAAGCTGAAGATGAGGAGAAGGCAAAGATCTACTTCCCAGGCGACATAGCCTGCAGGGCATGACAGAAGGTTAATGGATGATGCTGTGAAAAAAGCACACAGCCAGTGTTAAGAAAGCACAGGGAGGTTTCCAGGAGCTCAGTCTAGGAGTTGCCAGGAAATATTTCATGAGGAAGTGACTTCTGATTGGATATGGAATGACAGGTAGAAGTTTCCCAAGCATGCAGGGGAGTAAAATGGGAGAATACAGGCAAAAGCGGGGAAGTTCAGCGTGCCTGCAAAAAGGGAGAAGCCACAGATGTGGGAGTACACAGAAAGACAATCGATCATATACAGCCAAGAAAGAACAAGTACAGACCAACTCTTAGAGCTGTGTTTCCACAACTGGGGCTTGCTGGACCCAAGAGAACCTAGTCCTCTCCTAGCCCAAAGGTTCATTGTTTTGGTCAGCAAATATCTGGCAGGATAATGTAAAAACATGTGTAAAAAAGATTTGTAAAGGGGCGCCTGGGTGGCGCAGTCGGTTAAGCGTCCGACTTCAGCCAGGTCACGATCTCGCGGTCCGTGAGTTCGAGCCCCGCGTCGGGCTCTGGGCTGATGGCTCGGAGCCTGGAGCCTGTTTCCGATTCTGTGTCTCCCTCTCTCTCTGCCCCTCCCCCGTTCATGCTCTGTCTCTCTCTGTCCCAAAAATAAATAAACGTTGAAAAAAATAAAAATAAAAAAAAAAAAAAAAGATTTGTAAAAAAGTAGCCTGTCTGTGCCTGGATAATATAGGCCATCAAAATACTGTGTATTCTGACAGCTTTGTACTCATACTGGCCTCTGACAAACCGACAGGGGGAAGGAGGGAAAAAAAGAAGAGAAATACAAGTGTTACTCATTAAACTATGAATTCGTTGAGAGTAGAGAACATGGATGTTTGTCTCCCTAGCACCCAGCACAGGGCCTGGCACATGTCAGACATTCACTAAGAATTCAATACAGGATCAAGTAAGTACACTGGCAAATGAAGAAAGTGTAGTGCCAGGAATATCCCAGAGGAGAAAGGAACAGTAGGTGCCAGGCAGTAAGTGATGTAAAATTGCAGAAACTCAGAAAAAGAGGTATTAGTTGCTAAATATAGGCAAGATTGATTAACCCATTTAGCTGGTGTATAAGTTTCAACTGAGGGGAAGAAAAAAGGAAATAAAAGATCAGTACTAATATTTTTCAGTCAGAGCTGTAAGAGAGAGAAAAATAGCCCCATTTTACTTCCCCCAACTCAAATATTTTAATTCTCTTTAGATGGAGGGATGGATGGATGGATGGATGGATGGAAAGAAGGAAGGAAGGAAGGAAGGAAGGAAGGAAGGAAGGAAGGAAGGAAGGAAGAAAGATTAGGCAAATTGATGGAGGGGTAACAAGTCAGATGAAGTGATGGGTGAATAGATGAACTTACGGACAGGGGCCCCACAGATTTCTGAAAAGGATCAGTTGTTTTCTTGTCCTGACTTACCCTGGCCATCTTGGATTGCCCAGTAGAAAAGCACTGCAGAAAAAAATGCTCAGTTACATCCCTGGTGAGGTCCACTTGCTTACACCCAGGACAGGAGATGAGCTCTGGGAAGGGGGCAAAAAAGCAGAGTCAGGGCAACATGGCAGATTATACATAAGGCCTAGACACAAGGCTTTCTACTACACAACACCAAGGCATGTGTCAAAACCCCTCGTGCCAAAATGACCTGTGTTTGATGTCATAGTCTGCACTTACCATCTAGGTACTCTGGACATGACCACTCCTTTAGGGGCCGGCCCTACAGACCTCCTCACATCCACCTTCCCGACTTCCTCACAAGCCATGCTACCTGTTCTGCTTCTGATTAACTGGGTGCCTTCCTGCTGCTCCCACTCCTCATTTCCCAGCTCTGAGACCCAACCTCCCATTATTGGCTAAGCTCCCGGGGGTCAGTTTATCCCAGGACACAGATCCAGCCACTAAGGTTACCACACAGCAGAACTACTATAAAGATCTCAAAGCCAGAGCTTCTAGAAAGCTCTTCCCACAGAAAGCAAGGCCTCCCTGTCTGCTCATCTAGCAGATATTTTTCTCTTCTTACTGCCAATACCAATCAGTCTGCCCATGGGGCTCACAGAGATTTTGTGGGGCCTTCCCCACCTAGTCCATATTGCACGCCCTACACAGACATATGTTTCACCTGGGTACACGAACATTTTGCCCTATCCCCTCTCCCCAGGGAAATGTAAACATCTCCAACACTTTCCTCAGTATACGGGGTTCCCGAACTACATAAGCAACATAGACTGCCACCCTGGAGACTAGAGTGCTCTTCGGGCCCACCTCAAGAGCAGGAAGCTCACTGGGTGCAAGGAAATGCGGCTCCTGGGGAGGGCCAGATGCCTGTGCCCAGGCATGAGGGCCACCTGGAAAGGGGTGGCTATGATAGAGAATGCAGCGGTACCACCATAGTATTTTCTGCCTCATATCATCGAAATGATACAATGGCAGTTGCTCTAGACCTGCAGTTAGACAAACTTACGTCTAAACACAAGGTTTACCACCCAGTGACCTCGTTTGGGCAAGTCACTTAATCTCACTTAGCTCCTCAGGTGTCCTGTTTCTTCACGTGTGAAATAGGAAGGGAAAATAAGAGTTGCAAGGTTTAAATTAAATAATACTTGAGAAAGCACCTGATCCTCCACGAACGCTGACTTTGAAATCAAAACATTTCTCATATCCCATTTATGGCAAGGCAATGACCTCAATTATCAACTCTCCCAAGTGATGGAAGTCAGATAGTCTGAGAGGTAGAGTGAAAAAATAACCATAAATTCTCCCCCCACCCCCACAACCCCCCTGCATCCATGCTCTAGCATGGAGCCTATTCTCCACCCTTTGAAGCTAGGCCACCTTCATCATGTACTCTGGCCAAAAGAAAGCCACAAAAGTGATGCTGAACCAGTTCTAAGCCTAGGCCTCGAGTGGCTTTGTATGATTTAGCTCTGCCCTCAGAACTCTAAGACTTCCACCTGAACGACCCCAGGTTAGATTGCTGGATGAAACACTACGCAGACAGAGGCCTCGGTTCTCTCTAGTGCTCACTTGAAGCCGTCATAAACCAGTTAGCCCCAAATGACTCACTGGCTGAATACAGACAAAGGAGTGAGCACAGTTGAGCCTAGCCAAGCCCAGCCAAGCCCCAAAGAACCAGTCAGAGAGTCCCAGCCCAAACTGCTGACCTATAGAATCAGTATTTTTAAACTACTAAGTCTTGAGTGTCTTATAATGGAGCAAAACCTAACTGATCTACCCTGGAAAAGCCAAAATCCACCAAATCATGCAAAGTAATAATTCAATACTTGTCCTCCCCTTCCCCCCACTGAAGAGACACCCCCCCACACACACGCACACACCCCTCACAGAGCCATGGATCTGCAATCCCTAAGACATTCTCCTGCCTGTCAGGAACAGTGGCCAGAGGCAAAGAAGAATGCTCTTCATAGGTGTCATCATCCAGGGGAATTGGGTGACTGTCCCTCTCTTCCATTTGGCTCACCCTGAAGAGACTCCCCTTATCTACCCCCAGGTCAGAAACACTGCTCTAAATGTTGAAAATAATTTCCACAAGGCTTCTAACCCCCTGGTAACAGATGCCCAAACATTAGTCTCATTAGCATCAAGGAAAAAAGGGAGAAACAACTGAATAGATCAGACAAGGCTTCATAGCACATCCTCTACTGCCCCTGGCCATAAATGCCAAAATCCTCATCTTGGTGCTCAAGATGGCCTTACTTCACTCTAATCTTATCTTCAGCTTCACCTGCCTCACACCCTGTGTCCTTGCTGGGGCAAATATCTCTGCTGTCTTCAGATTGTCAAACCTCTGCATAACTCTGTTTATGAGAGTGCTGTTCCCTCTCCCTGAAATACTCTTTCTTGCTCCCCTCCTTTTCAAATAAACTCCTATTCATCCTTTCAAACCTGTTCAAATGTTCTGCCTTTAAGAAGCAGGGTTGATTTCCCTCAGGATGAGTTAATTATTCCCTCTTCTGGGTTCCCACAGCACCCTGAACATCCTTCTAGTATGACAAATATCACATTGCATTTTAACTATCTGTTCATATGTCTGCATACAAAAATAATCCACAATTGGCACTAAAAGATATTGCATAATTTTTAGCAGATTGGACAATTATATTTCTTTGGGGTTTGGGTATCCCATGCGTATTCCTTGCACTCACAGCCACTGAAAGTAGTAAGAAGCCATCTGGAGGTTTTCAGGGTGATGAGAAAAAAGCCAGCCAGGATGATAAAGGAATCAGGTCTGATCTACAGCTGTGAAAGGCTGTGAATTGGGAGATGTGGGTTCCAGGTCTAGGGCTGGCACTATCTGTGTAACCTTAGGTAAGTGACCTCTTTCCCCTGAACCTTATTGTCTACATCCTTAATATGAGGGGAACAGGAACAGCAGGGAAGTGTGGATTATCCAACCCGCTTCCTCTGCCTAATGTACCCAAGCTCCAGAAATATTCCCCTGGGCAAGACTGGATGGGACAGATAGCCAAACAGTGACCTGCCGATCGTCTTTGTCAGCAAGTCAGGGGACAGGCTTATGGCTTAGGGGAGGCCTACATCTAAAAGTCATCCCATCTGACAAGGGGCTGTCGTGGCAGACAGCAGAGATGGAATACCACCACGGCATTGGTACAAGCAGGCCCCAGGGAGGCTGTGGGGCCCAGAGTGGACACAGAGGACATGTGCTCTCTTTGGGTCATGACATCTTTGTCCAGAAATTCTTATCTTCCTTCAGAAGGCCCCTAGCCCCCATCAAGCTATGTTAACCTTGAGCTTTTGTTTCAAGGGGGTTCCCCATTCTTCAGTGCGAATCCCAAAATAAAGTTTTATTTTAGACAACTATAATACATGAACCCCTAGGGCTACAGATGTATATACAAAATAACCAAACATCTGCTTATAATATTTAACATTTAATGTTTAATATTTAGTCATCAATACATATTTAAATCACATATTGCACAAAATATTTAGATATGTTTCTTTTTTTTCTATCAGGATTATTCAAGCCTTAAGCTTTTATTTCATACACAGAAACATCAATTCTGAGCAATGCAGAGCCAGGGCCCAAAGGCCACACACCACCATCCCTAGAGGAAGTGGGGTTCCTGCCTCCCGAATGAAGAAGTCACAGGCCCCAGAGGTTCTTCTGGGGACCTACGAGCCTGGGAGAGAAGTTCTGAAAGCTGAAGGCGTTCAGTCCACCTGTCATAAGAATGAGCACTCCCGTCCCTGGGGTGGATCATTCTTTTACCACCACTCCCTGCACGAGACACTTTTTGCATGTTATCTCAGTTAATCATCAAACCACCTCTGAGAGGTAGACATTATCCCCATTTCATAGCTGGGGAGACTGAGGCTCTAAGAAGTTGTCATCTGGCAAAGATCATATGAAACAGCAGCAGAGCCATGATTGGAAATCAAGTCTCCCTGCCTCTAAAATCCACCCCTTCCCAGAGCACCTAGATGGCTCAGTCAGTAAAGCATCCAACTTTGGCTCAGGTCATGATCTCGTGGTCCATGAGTTTGAGCCCCACATCTGGCTCTGTGCTGACAGCTCAGAGCCTGGAGCCTGCTTCAGATTTTATGTCTCCCTCTCTCTCTGCCCCTCCCTGATTGCACTCTGTCTCCCTTTCTCAAAAATAAACAAACATTAAAAAAATTAAAATCCACCCCTTTCCATTATGCTATATCTCTCTAATTCAAATGTAAACAAGGTAATTTTATTTTAATTAGATAATTTTATTATAAGTAAAACATGCCATAATAATGATCAGACTCTAATTATGACCTGGACCCAGCTTTGGATTATGGGAATCCAGAAGGAAGGAGCTGGGAAGCCAGCCCCATCTGTGTTTAAAGTTTTATAAAATAGACTCCTTGAGAAAAGGCAGGCGAAGAAGAGTTTTTCTGCATGGTAATAAATCTGGGGACAGTTTCATATTATAGAACCAGTTGTTCTCGAACTTTGTTACATATTTGAATCCTGTGGGGCACTTTAAACATCCTGATGTCCATTCCATATCAATTAAATCAGAGTTTTAGGAGGTGGAATCCAGGCATAAATATTTGTTAAAATTCCCCAGGTGATTACAACATACAACCATGTTTGAGAACCAGCACCTTAGAGAGAGTCTCTCCTACCCCTGTGCCTAAGTCTGATAGCTCTTTCCCCACACCATGCGGCTGAGGAAGGCAGGATCGGCCAGTTTTAAAGAGGCTCCACAAAGTTAGGAAACATTTTGAATGTGGAGGTGATGTATTTCCCCTCTGGCAAGGAAGAGAAAAGGGCACATTCCCACCAGACAGCAGATGTCCTGATACGTGGGTACCCTGGGGACCAGCAGTGAGCTGGAGGACACCTCCTGCCCCCACTAACTCCCAGCTCCACTGAAGGACCCAGGAGCAGACTTAGGGTACTGCCTGAGCTT